GATCCCGGGTGTCCTCACCGGGACGCCAACCGGTGACCTTCTAGCTGTGAGGCCACGGTGCTAACCACTGAGACACCTGCAGCCCCGAGAAGGAATCCAATAATTTAAAAAAGATTTCTAATTTAAAAAAAAAAAAAACACATATTGAATGTGTTTTTTTTAAGCTGCAGTGACAGAAAGTCCGGTTGCCTGCTTAATGTCACAGTTTGGACGAATTCATTCGTTCATGTATTGCTATTGTTATTCCCCTCTGCTCCACTAGGTGGCGCCACAGCACCTAAATAAACTGCAGAGGTTTTTCCTGCACCAGGCTCCATCTCTTGGTGGCCACCACAGAGGAGAAAAACTGCTGTCAACCCATCAAGGATTATAATAAATATGAAAACCATTTGAGAACATTTCTGTGGCAGCTGCTGCAGAACCCGATGTTCAGGTTCTCCTCAAAGTTTGTCCTGTGATGTGAACACAGACGGTAAATAACACTGATTATCATAAACACTGGTGTTTAAATGTAGTTTATTAAAACCATAATGCCGTAATGGTATCAATAAACCTCTAAACTGGGATGTTGTCTATGAAATAAATCCTCCAAATTACAGCATTTATCAGAAACTGTAAAAACATCAGATTTTGGACTTTCTGTTGGTTCTTGAACTAACCGGTGACATGACAAGAACTGCAGGCAGCGTTCACACAGAGCAGAGAGGAGATGAAACTAATTACAAATGTAAATATTAATATATCTACTGGTTGTAGGGCCGGTGTTCTTTATGATTGATCATAGTGTCTACTTTTATGTTGCATTCAGACCATCAGCATGTCAGATAAACAGGTTTCTGTTGCACTGAAGCACTAATTGGACTAATTGGAGGAAGGTGGGGTCAAAATGAAAAACCATAAACGATCAGTACACAGTCACGTGTCGCTGCACACCTCACAGCGTTTGTGTTGCAGCAGCACAGGTGTTGAGCTTCAGGTGTCCACATTCTGTGTAAAGGATCCGGACTTGTTTGAAAACCTCGGAACACGTCAGCGATGCGTCAGATTGATTACCTGTGGTCTGAAATATCTCACTGTCTCCACTTACAGGAGCTATTTTAAGGCTCTGGCATCTCACTGAGGTTAAAGCAAACACACTCCTCGACAACTCAGTGTGTAAAATATCCTCCTGCTCCCGGTGAGAGGAAAGATGCAGCACATGTGTGATGAGTGTGATTCCTGACAGGAGACCCATCAGGCTTCATAACGCTGCTGATCATCCCTCATGGCTGCACCGTAATGAATCACATATTCTCTGACATAAAACGTCAGGGCAGTGAGGACAGCTGCTGTCCTGCTGATCTGTAGTTTGCTGGTTGCTCAGTGTCCCCTGCTGTTTGTCCTTCACTGGGCTCTCAGTGAAGTCGGCCTCACATTCGACCGTTAAGGGGAAAACTGAGGAAAACTTCCAAAGCTGAGCTGAGCAGTTTCTCTGTTTTGTTTTTCCACATTTTGATGATTTAAAACCTTGTCAGACGTTTTGGGTGAAGCTTCAGTGGTGTTTGGAACCCACTTTATATTCCTGAGATCTTTATTCTATTTATAAAAATGCAAAATATTGGAGATTTAACCACTGTTTCACACACAGACCACTTAATCCTGCTTAAGTTCTGGTCAAATCTGCACTAGATTGTCACAGCAAGGTGAAAGATTCTCTAAAACACATTTTCTGATTGCGAAAGAAAGGGAGACATTACTGCTATTTGGCATGTAGACCACACTGGACCAAGTCCAGAACTAGAGCCTCAGTATGTAGACCGGTCCAATGTGGGCTAGACGGTTTAGGTAAAATAACCCAGTCCAGATTTATGCATGATTTCCATTTATGCGTTGCTGTTTTGATCTAAACCTGCTCTAATGTGGTCCAGATGAGAAGAAAAAAAGCATCGATGTCCTCATTACTTGCACGTTCATGGATCCAGTAAAGTTTTGTTTGTTTGTTTGTTTTCAGAAGTAGAATAAAGGTTTTACAAATAATAACAAGTGTGTTTAAAGAATCTTCAGCCTCTGGAAGATAATCTAGTCCAGATGTGACCCATTTATGGATCATGGTTCTAGTTCTGGACCTGGTCTAATGTGGTACAGATGCAAAAAAAAAAAAAAAAGCACAGAAATCTTAAAAAGTTCAGCTTTTTTTCCACAAATGGAATAAAAGTTTCACAAACCAGAAACTATGTGATAAGTTTGTGTCTCTCAGAGGTTTTCTAGTCCAGAGTTGACCAGACTACGTGTTCTGGTTTTAGATCTGGACCTGATCTGATCTAATGTGGTTGAAATGTGACAAAGCATTAAAATGTCCCCAGTTTAGCATTTTATCAAATAGAATGAAGGTTTCATGAATCAGAAGGACTGTTTTTTAAACAACTGGTAAAATAATCTGGTCCAGATCAGACCGGTTTATAGATATATGGAGGATTTTACATCTGGACCTGGTCTGATGTGGTCAAGATGTGAAAAAAACACTAAAATCTCCATTTTATCATTATTACAAGTAGAATCTACAAATAATAACCATTAAGTTTAGAGAGTTTTCCACCTCTGGAAGATAATCTAGTCCACATTTGACTCATTTATGTATCGTGGTTCTAGCTCTGGACCTGGTCTAATGTGGTCCAAAGGGGATAAAAACCATCCATCCATCATCTCTACACCTTCATCCTCACTATGGGGGGCGGAGTCTATCCCAGCTGACTCAGGGTGAAGCTAGGCTCACCTGGACAGGTAACCAGTCTATCACAGAGTGGATAAAAACCAGTACAGTCTTTATTTTCAAGTCTATAGTAAAGGTTTCACATATAAGAATCTGTGTTTGTAGCCTCTCTTAGGACAATCTAGTCCAGATTTGACCCATCTGAGAGGAATGGTGTTAGATCTGGACCTGGTCTGATGTGGTCTACATGTGGAAAACAGCAGTAAAGTTTCATTTCTAGCATTGTCACCACAACAATAAAGGTTTCACACATCAGAAACAACATTTTAAAGACTTTTTAGCCTCTCAGGGACAATCCAGTCCAGATTTGACCCAGTTATATATATATAGTGGTTCTGGATCTGGACCTGGTCTAATGTGGTCTAGATGAGAAATAAAGCAGTGAAATCTTTATTTCTTGCACGTTCACCAACACAATAAAGGTTTCACAGTCCAGCATCTGTGTTTTAAAGACTCTAGAATAGACCCATCTAAGTGTAACTGCTTTGTATCTGGACCTGGTCTAATGTGGTCTATGTGGGGGGACAACAGCACAGGAAGTTCCCTTGTTTGCATTCTCACAAAAAACAATGAAGTTTCAATGTCCTAAAGAATCTTTAGCTGCTGTAAGATAATCATGTCCAGGTTCGACCCATTTATGTCCTTGTTTTAGATGACAGCGTGGTCCAGACGGGAAAAAACATGGAGTCCAGATTTGACCCGGCTAAGTGGTCCGCATGCAAAAAATACCACAGGAATCTCCCCTCTTAGCATTTTTACAAGTAGAATAAATGTTTAACAAATGATGATGACTGTGTAGTGAATAATCCTCAGTGTCTTAACCCTCCTGGTATATTTGGGTTCATTTTGATCCCATTCAATCAGAGACTGATGTCAGTTTTATTTAAAAGGCAATTTATAAACTTGGGTAACAGTTTTAATTATGATAATTTTAGGGTTTAAGGTAAAAAGATGTCAGAAAATGTGCAGGTAATAGGAAGGTTAAAGACAATCTAGTCCAGACTTGACTAATTTATAGTAGTTTTAGATCTGGACCTGGTCTAATGTGGCTCAGATGAGAAAAAAAACAGTGAAAGTCTTAAAGGTAGGATTCAGAAAACATTCATTTATTAACCTACAATGTTTAGCACAGCTTTAAATCATAAAAATGTAGACGTAAAACAGATAAACAGTCAGAGTAAGGGGCTGTCAGTTAAGTTTCCCCTTATCTGCGGCCCTTAGGTGTCGAACCGGAAGCGGACTTCGCCGTCGAGCTGCAGGTTTTTATGAACGCGGAGCTGCGCTGGAAAAAAACCGGCTGACGACACGGGGCGGAGCGACGCGTCCACAGGCATGACAGAGAGAGGCGGAGAGGAGAGCACCGGGAGAGGCGAGCTGTCCTCCGGTGTCGACGCTTCATCCACTTAAAGGCAAGATTTACCGGCGGGACTCTTTGGGGATATTTAGCGGCGCTGATCTCCTTTAACGTCCGGCCGAGAGGAGAGACTGCTGCCGCCGTTAGCCTGTTAGCCTGTTAGCTCCGGCTACATGGCCAGCTAGCACAACAAAGCTAACCCGCCGTTAGCCGCTGGACCCGGCGAAGTGAGCCCAGAGCCGAGGAAGGGGGAATGGAAAGAGTTCGCCCGGAGAGCACCTTGAGAAGAAACGACGACTGAAACCGAATTACTTCTAGTTCCCTGAATCACCGGTGAGCATCAGCGGGTTGTGAAGTTAGCGCTAGCTTACGGGCTAATCTCAAATCAGCCCGCAGTGTTGTTGTTGTTGTTTAATTAATGTTAGCTAACCGGTCGGCGTGGCAAACCGTAGTTACTGTGGCGCTGGCAGGTTGTATTGACTTTAATTCTTTATTTTGATGTTATTATTATTATTATTATTATTTAGGTTTTGTTTAGACTTTTAAACGTCACTGTAAAGTAAAACCAAAACAAACGAGAGTAAAGCGGATCAAAAGCACGAAGCTAACTGAAACCATGAGACGTGTACATAAAACTACACGTAATTAAACACAGTGCTGAACGTCCTGGTCCCTCTCAGTCAGTGAAAATGTGTTAATTAAGTCTCCTAATTGACATACACTTGAAGTAATGGTGTTGTTTTGACGTGTCTCTCAAGTTGCCGAGCGGTCCTGAAGCATGACGGTAAATATGGTGGCAGTAGCTGTGTGTTGTGCACAGACGGATTCCGTAGCGACCTGTTTGTGTTCCGTGTGTCCCGGCCCGGTTATTATTAGTCTGCCTTCCCTGATCCCTCTGTAAGTAGTGCTGGGACGTTAGCTCACACCCTTGCTTGCAGACATGTTCCCATCACAGCACAGCAGGAGTTACAGACCTGTAATAACACGCTGGGCAGAGACACACACACCCCCACACACACACACACACACACACACACACATTGCTCTCATGCACCACATCTTGTTTGGTTTATCCAACAACATGCATGTGTTTTAACAGCGACTCCATTTGCAGGTATGTGTATTAATGCTGTGCTCTGTGGCTCCTGGTGCTGTTTGCAGTGTAAAGAACAAACAGTACCTGCCTTTCTATGGTTACGTAAAGTCATGTGTAGCTGTGACCCCCCAGCCTCTGCAGAGACTGCAGCTGAGGTTCTCGTAGTTCTATCCCCAGTAGTTTGCGACGAACCAGACCATTGCAGCGGTGTTGATAAATGAGCGGGAAATGCTGCATCCATTGATCGGTGAGGTCTCCGGTCACGGCTCAGGAGACTTCCCACCCGCAGCCCATCGCTGTGCTCAGTTTCTTATGGCTGCATACCACAAAAACACACACACACACACACCTGGCATCATCCCAGCAGCCGGCTTAAACACACCTTTACTTAACTGCACAGCCATCTCCTGTCGTGGTGCCAGATGAAGCTTCGCTGCTGTACTTTTGGCCAACGGTTTCTGTGATGATGCCAAGAGTGAATCAGATGCAGCCCAACACCTCAGCTGTCTTTCACAAATGCCTGTGATCGTTGCTTATTCTTTTCCCTTTTCTGCTTTGGTTTGCTCAGGTTGTTGGTGTTACTGTAATCCCCATCATGGTGCAGAAGTACCAGTCGCCCGTGCGGGTGTACAAGCATCCCTTTGAGCTGGTCATGGCGGTAAGTGTCTTTACCTGTCCGTCTGTAAGCATGCATATTGCTCTCCATAGATGCAGAGTTATGCAATGCTGGCGGGTGGGCGCTTCAAAAGGTCACCTCAGAAGGTAGTCACAGACTTCAGTAGCTCGCATGTGATTTGCTCATGAATTAGGAATGCGTTCTCTGAACTTCATGTTCCTACATCAGCTAATGTCTCTATCATGTAAACAGACTGGAAGCAGAATCTTACGAGGTACTGGAAGTGTGAACGGGTTCTGCACGATACTGGAAAACGCTGACATTGAGATATTCAGATATGTATTGCAAAAAGAGGAGAAGCCAGGATGCAGCCTGGTCCACTGGTTCGGTTCTGTTCACTGTGTTTTCTGTTGCTGTGAGGCTCCAAGCAGCTTCTCTCAGCCCTGTTGGGATGTTCTCTCTTTTATAATCAGCCAGAAAAATGCAAACAGCGACTTCAGTTAGTTCTCATTAACAAAATGGACGGTGAGACTCGGCTGAAGTCCACAGTAGCTGCATGATGCTCCGCTGCTGAGCTCTGGGATGGCCATCCTAAAAAACAGGCGTGCCATCATGTTACATAAATCTAGTCCAGCGACTGGATCATGTCTTTAAACCCCTTTTTGTTCACGGTGTTAAACGGTATTATGTCTTTTATAAGGTGAGAAGTGATTCCAGTGATTCCACTCTGCCCTGAGCCGTTCTCAAATCGTTTAACACTCGCAAAGGCAGCCAAAAACTTTCTTCTTTTTGCTTTGAATGGCAGTTGGATTTGGTTTTGTACTCAAAGCGTAGCTGTTTTTGGTCAAACTCAGACTCTCTGAAGAAGTTCATACAACTGCAGTTGCGATTCTTTTCAGTGTTTCTGCTGATATCTTGAGGCCTGCGTGTTAACCAACTCGATGTCTTTTACATAAAATCAAAAATGTGTTTCCAAGAACGCCTAAATCTGAGAAAGTGCTGTTCTGTCTGACAGACTTCTCTTGAAGCTCATTCAGGGAAAATGAGAGCTGTGCAAGTTTTTTTTTCTTCTTTCTTCCGTCAAGCAGCAAAACAAGCTGTTGTGTAATGTGTTAGAGTTTAGCTGCCTTTCTTCACATCGTGCGTCCTGCGTTGTGAGTGTTGCGCACATTGCAGTGTCGATGCAGAAGTGACACACTGTGCAGCCCTGCTGTGAACACACCGACAGCAGCCTAAACGTTACAACGTTGTTCACGTTGGACACACATCACACCTTCCTTTGTCACGCTGCCTCTCCGTCTTGCTTCTTTTCATCCTGAGGTTGTAATGTCTGTCCATTCACGTGGTGTGCTCCCGTCGCTTTGCACACTCGTCATCTGAATACACACCGTGGCTGTGCTGTTGTGTCAAACACAAGTCCCACTGCAGACTCGCCGTTGCTCGTCCATTTGCAGCGTTAAAAATTCAGCGCCCCGCTTTGCTTTTAGCCGGCGACGGCTTTGCTGCATGTTGTGTTTCGCTCTCGAGCTTGAGTGCACACACTGGGTTTTACGTTTTGGTGCTTTTTGGCCTCTTCAGCAGCGTTCCCAGTGCCACGTCTCTCTGTGAATGTTCTGTTCATTTCCCCTCGTCAGTGTCTTGGTTGGCAGCCGGTCAGATCGTTGTAGGACAGGAGATTGTCGGACATTAGAGAAGGTTCGCTGGCAAATGAGAAACTCTAACTGATGGAGCCTCTGCAGTGTAATGACAACTCTGGAGAACAATGATAGCACAGATTTATAAATGCTCTCAAACCCGACCTCTCGATCATTAAAGTCAGATCGATCTTTATTCTTGAAAACCGACGGTGGAGAACAGAATCAGAGACACGCTTGACGTGAACTCGGCGGTGCTTTGACCTCAGCTGCTGTATAATAAATGAGTCCACGCCTGCAGCCTCGATTACACAACTGTCAATTTCAGCCAGTTTAACTAGTAAAAGATCACTTCAGCAGCGTGCACATGTCCCTGCTTGATTTATTTAAACGACTGCCGATCTCCTGCAAGTTAGCTGGTGGCGTTACTTCCCCTCAGCAGTCCGTCATGTGTTGCTTTAGTACACGGCGTTCCAGACATGTGCTGTTTTCTTTAAATGGAAATCAGCTTTCTACACCGGCGAGGAGGAGAATGCAGGAAGACTAAATCTCCTTAGCACAGGCCAGATTGAGTATCGGGCAAATAGGTGACTATAAATAGAGGGCTGGTACCTACACCTGGGTCTGCACATGCAGCCGAAGGGGGGCAACTGTAGTAAGAGCAAAGCAGAAGTGCTCGATCTGTAAGCTGGAGATGACCCACCTCGTGGGCTGTTCCTGGATGGGACAGGCTTACTTTTGGAAAACTAATGGAGTAACCCTGGTGTTTCTAAAGTAGGGCAGCAGCAGATAAGTTGGATGGTTAAAGTTAGATGGAGAAAAAAATCTGAAATGAGCTAAAAGGTTTAAGAGCTGAACAATATGCAGTATTTGTTTGACAGATATTGCAATATGAGTCACGTTTGTTTGTGCTCTGTGTCCCTTTTCCACTGAAAAACAAATACAGAAACGATCACGTCATCTTTGCTTCAGTGCATACCAAACAAATATGCTCGCTTTAATCTAGAGAATCTGATTTCTAGGCCGGAGCATCTCTGCAGCACCACAGCGGTTCGTTTGCAACAGGATGATGTGACACGTTTCACCTGTGTCACAATGTGCAGCTCTTGCAGTTTGAATACAGCACCTGTCCCTGGATGTTGCCTCGGGTACTGGTCAGGATGTGGAAGGAGGCTGGGAGTTAGTGAGTGGACAAAATGTACATTTGGTGCATTTGGATTCTTCCCCCTTCTTTTCCTCTGCAGTGAGTATTTTTGCAGACACTGCAGAGCAGACTTAATGGTGCGTCACAACACTTGCCGACTCGTTTTTATTGAAAACCCAGTGAAACCTCTCCCCTCTCACTTCCTCTGTAGCCGGCCTGTCACCGCTGCAGCAAAGCAGCACAGAAACATCCTGAGTTTGTGGGAAACCATCACGAAGCATCAACGCTGAATTCTGTGCTGACAGGAATCAGCTTCTTCATATTGGGAGTGCTTTAATTTTTCAGCATGTGTGTATAAATTTTGCAGATTAGGCAGGCTGTATTAGCATTGTGCCGGGCATTTCCAAATCGTATGAGCAGTACTGTGTCGGGTTCTAGCTTAGCTCAGCCTTCTTATGTCTCCCTCCATTTCTGTCGGAGGCTTCTGAAATATTTGCCAGTAACGGCTTCTCCCTTTGGTCTGCGGGGGGATTATATTTGACATTTAGCTTTGAGGAATTCGGTGTTCTCTCTCCACTTGACTCTGTTGTTTGGATACTGTCGGCTCTTCGGAACACCAGTTTACTCGTTTGAGGCTCAGAACCGAGGCTCTACATTCCTCCCGTAAAGCCTTTAAATGCATTCCTCTAGTCTGGATGAAATACAGCCGCTCTTCCCTCGGCTCGCTGACAGGTGCTATCAAAGTTTTTTTTCAACCTCTGGCGAGCGCTGCCGTGGCTTTGGATGTGCTGTTGCATAAGTCAGGTTTGGATCCGAGATGCCCTTCAGCTGTTTTTGTTCTGCAGCGGTTACTCCCCCTCTTGAACGTGCTATTCTCAGTGCTCCGAGTGTCGACAGCTTTTTAGCACTCGTCTCACATCTGTGTGTGTGTGTTTGTTTTTTCCTGCAACAGTTACGACTTACCTGCTCTAGAAAAAACCACCAACCTGGCTGTGTATCGCTGAAGGTCATCAGTTTTATTTTAGAGTTACTGATTGCTAAATTATAAATCCACTTACATCAATACAAAGGAATGTTGTGCATTTTCGGGTGTCGTTCCTGCGTTTTCATTCGGTTTGTGGGCGATGTGAAGCACTTTTAGGTTGCGACAGTGATTAAGGACAGTTCAAATAGACTTGACGTGTAATTAGAGGTTCTGCTGTGATGTCCTGCCAAGTGATTTACGATGCTGAGGACTACATGCAACTTGAGAGGCCAGTACACGCCAGATTAAAAGAGCAGCAGAGTGTAACGCACACCACATCGCTGTCAGTGTGTGCTCTAATAGGAAACGCTGAACTTCCGTTGTAGTTTAAGTCAACTAAGCCGTCGACACTCTCATCTGTCAGAAAGCTATCGGCGGCCGTGCAGCAGCAGCAGCAGCTGACTGGGTTTGTTTGAGCTGCCCGAAAGCACACAAACATCAAAGTGCATTAGCATCGACCTTGATAACTTTCTTATCGCCCCGCAAAGTTGGTCTCTTTTCTTTAAAAAAAAAAAAAAAGAGAGAAAAAAAAGAAGCAGCATCTTGTCTCTGCTGCCGCATCTCAATAACAGGAAGTGCAGTCGACGCTGTTGCTGCCATTATCGCAGCGGTCCAGCCTCAGAGCCTCTAGTCGGTCCTCGGGGAGTCACAGTGGAATGTCAAAAGCACAACACAATACCCCCTCGCTGTTGTTTCAGGCCTGCAGGGACGGTTGTTTCTAGAGCACATCCACAGATGAAGAATGACTTCAGTAGCCACCAGAGGAATAAAAAAACAACTGACTGGGATAGTAAATCACTATCACGACCCCGCTGTTGAGTTTAAAAGACGACGACTATCCCTGAAGTCCCTCAACTCTCAGGTTCATGCTACAGAGAGGGCATTAGGCGAGTCGAGGCCGACCGCGCTCCATGGAAACGTATGGAGCTGGAGCTAATCCACGAGGACAAAGAGCTCCGGTCCTGCCCCGTCCCAGCAGAGTTTCTGCAGGGTGAGGAACAGGATGTGCCGTGTCGGTGTAATGCCTGCTGGAATTGTTGACACCATCAGCGACGGGGGACGTTTCCTTCTTAGAAACTAAAAACCCCGCTTGGTAGGGCGACGCTACAAAAGCCAGAGCAACATACTGAACACGTTCACGGCAGCAGACGGTTTCAACAACAAACTGGATTGAAAGGACAACCAGAAATGTGCCAATGGTAGAAAACAGCTCAATTTGGCAGAAGTTTTGTTTCATCCA